TAAACCCGGAGCCTGGGCTTCCGGGGCTCCCGCCACCCCCGACGCTGTTGCGGTATTTCCTCAGCTGGTTCCCAGTTCCTTTCATCACAGCGAGGCTTAGGCGCTGGGACATGCCTTTGAGCTGCCCTCTGAGGACGGGGGAGCAGAGCCGGTCCTGAGACTGTCGGGGCAATCAGGGCAGACCTCCTGGAGGAGAGCATTCAAGGATGGCGGCAGCATGAGTGTGGTGAGGCACCTGTAGCTGTGGGGGGGCATGAGGACACTGGGGACCACCCAGCCGCAGCCCAGGTTGTCAGGATGGCCGGACTTTGCTATAGTGACAGAGGCCTGTCATCCCCATGGCTTACTTGTTCTCATGCCCTGGGTCCCCTCGGGGTTGTCAGGGGCCACCCCCATTCGGGGGCAGGGGTGTCGGGGCAGCCGCCTGGAGGGCCGTGGTTACCCGGGCAGGGGACGCGCAGATGGAGGGTCCACGGCAGCTCCCGAACGCCCACGCGTGGCCTGCGCCGCTCCAGCGACAGAGCTGGCCTGTGCAGCCTCGGGCTGGCCCGGGCGTCGCTGTCTCCAGAAGCGGAGGGACACGGGCTGCTCGGCGCGCCTGCGTCCTGCTCAGACCCGCAAGGGGACCCAGTTGTTCCAGCCGCCTCCTCGGACTCTGGGCTCCCCAAGGGTCGAGCCAGGTCCTGGGTCCCCGCACAGGTACGGCCGCCCCCCCGAGGTGCAAGAGCCCCTGGCCTGGGCAGGCGGTGGGGACCTCCGCGCCGGACCGCAGGGCCCGAGGACAATGCCCCCCCCGAGGGATGACACCGGTGGCGTCCGACTGGGACCTCAGGGCTGGTGCAAGCCCCGCCGGCCACCACAGCGTCACTTTCTGAGAAGACACGGCGATTTAAAACCCGGCTTGAAATTCCAGACGTGGACGTCTCTTAAAATCACCTTTGGAACAGAAGTGAGGCGATGTGGGTTCCGGCTCCTGTCCCCGCAGCCTGCCCGGCGGGGGCTGCCCCGCCCACCTCGCTCCTCCGCGGCCGGCGGCGCAGCCTCCCGTCCCTGGAGGGCCAGAGCGTTGCAGCGTGAGAGACCCCAGCCTCGGCGCCCACCCCCGGAAAGCAGCGTCGCAAACTGGGAGAAGGTTCCGGAGCCTTCTAGTCTTCTGACTGATCCCAGCTGTGTGATTGTGGGTGAGCAACTTCACCTCTCTGGCCCTTGATTTTCTCCGCTGTAAAATGGGGACCCAACAGCCCCCACCTTGTGTGGTCGATGCGAGACTCGGCCAGCGCCTGGCGCGGAGTACGTGCTCAGCAAGTGCGGGGCGGGAGGGCCTGGAGCGGGGCTGGGGCCCTGCAGAGCCGGGGCTGAGCGACCGGAGCCCCCTTCTCTGTCCCACCGCCCCGTGTCCCCCCGATGCATGTGCAGACCCCCTGCCTCTCCTGCACCCCGCTCCTCGGGCCGCCGGCCCGCTCCTTCCTGCAGCGAGGTCTCCAGCTCACGCGAGATGCTCTGCCTCTGGGCCGTGTCCCTCCGGCCCCGTCCCCACCATCTGCTCTAGGCGTCCCCGGAGGCCGGCAGGGTGTGCAGAGCAAGGAGCCCGCGCGGGAGACGGTGTCCAGAGGAGGCGCCCAGCGGGAACCACGGCTGCTCTGTGAGCTGTGCGGCATCTCCCAAGCTGCCCGGGCCCCTCTGCGAGGACGGCGGGCAGGAGCCGCCCCCAGACAGCGGGAGACTGAGGCTGGGACACTGGCAGGGGCGGCTCCTGGAACCAGGAGCGACCAGACACTCGCCGCAGAGTCTTCAAAGACCCCCAGCCCTGATTTTGTGTGGAACCTCCTGTGTTCACCTGTGGAGGGAAAACTCCACCGAGAAGACCAGGGGGCCACGGCCTCCGGGGCCAAGCTTGGGGCCCTGAGCTGGGAAGATGTCCCTGCGGCGCACTGGGGGAGGGGGGGTTGAGCCCCCCCAGGACAGTTGAGCCCACCCAGGGCTTCGCGAGGGGCCGCAGTGCTGTGGCCCCGCGGCCAGCAGGGATGAAGCTTTGTCCCCAGGGATCCCCCGCCAGCCCCGGACCCATGGGTCCTCACTTTGTGCCATCCCTCGGGATGGCCGGGCCTGTCCCAGCCGCCCGGCTCCTGTCCAGCTCCCGGGGGCCAGGTCCGGGCTGAGCCCCTCCGTTGGTCCGGGCCGGCATCCTGCAAGTGGCCGCTCCTCCTCCCTGGATAGAAGGCTCACTCCGTACCTTGCCCCGTCAGGCCGCAGGTAGAGCGCCAGGCGGCCTGTGTCCCGCTGCCCGGCCCACCGCTGCCTTACAACGCCTCTGCGCACACCGCACGCCTGTGTCTCAGATCCCAGACGCCGAGTCCATGGCGTCCACGGAGCCCGTCCTTGCTGCGGCTGTGTCCGCCCTACTGCCGGATGCTTGATCTGTTTCCACGTTTTTCCGATGACAAATTTCACTGCAATACAGCTCGGTGCAAATACCCTTTTCCTTTCCTTGTGCTCATTTCCTGGGGCCGGGGTTGCTGGGTGGGCGCGGGAACAGCTCAGGTCTCCGGAGAGCACCCAGCAAAATTCCCTCTTGCGACAAACCAACGACACAGGCAAGTGTGGGTTTCTCCGCAGCTCTGCACACACCGGGTTTTAGCACTTTTGCTGTTTGTCCCTGGTGTGATGGGGCGTGGCGGGCAGCTTTTCAGGTTTTCGTTTTTTTTTTTTTGAGACAGAGTCTCAGTCTTTTTGCCTGGGCTAGAGTGCCGTGGCGTCAGCCTAGCTCACAGCAACCTCAAACTCCTGGGCTCAAGCGATCCTCCTGCCTCAGCCTCCCAAGTATCTGGGACTACAGGCATGCGCCACCATGCCCGGCTAATTTTTTCTATATATTTTTAGTTGTCCAGCCAATTTCTTCCTATTTTTAGTAGAGACGGGGTCTCACTCTTGCTCAGGCTGGTCTCGAACTCCTGAGCTCAAACGATCCTCCCGCCTCGGCCTCCCAGAGTGCTAGGATTACAGGCGTGAGCCACCGCGCCCGGCCAGGTTTTCGTTATTTTTAAGACACCAGGAAGGCGGAGCGTGAGAGCCCCTCACACGCACTGCCGTGTTTTTGACTCCATGTTTGGAAGTCACGGTTGTCGAGACTTTGCAAGTGGTGACTCCCGAGTATTAAAAGTAACAACGCACCCAAGGAGTTGGAAACGGGCGCGTCCACAGCGGCGTCTCTCGCGACAGCCGTATCGTGACTGGCATTTGCCGTGGACAGGAGGGAGGCACCGACGCGCCACGACACGGCCGAACCCCGAAAACACGGCCCGTGAGAGCAGCTGGGCGCCAAGACCACACGCGGCGCGCCTCCACTCACACGAAACGTCCAGAACAGCAAACCACGGGCAGAACGCAGGACGGCGGCGCCGGGGGTGGGGCACACTGACGAGGGGTGAGGGCTCCCTGTCGGGGCGATAAATTCCGGAAGCAGCCGGTGGTGACGGCTGCACCACGCCGAGGCTGTGCTGATGCCACCAAACCACGTACTGGTTTTTTGAGACAGGGTCTCGCTGTCGCCCAGGCTGGAGTGCAGAGGCGTCATCACAGCTCACTGCAGCCTCCAACTCCTGGCCTCAAGCCGTCCTCCCACCTCAGCCTCCCGGGCTGCTGGGAGGACAGGCCTGAGCTGCCCGCCTCGCCGGGCCCCACCTGCCCCGCCACACACGGCCTCACCTCCTCGTCCACCTGGTCCTGCCGCGTCTGCCGTCTCTGCGGGGCCTCGTGCCTCCTCGGGGAGGGCAGTCTCCTCAGCAACAGAGGTCGGGGTGAGGTGGGGGCTGCCTTCCCCAAAGCCCACCTTTCTGAAGCTCCTACCGTGTGCTGGGGGTGTAGATGCCACGGCCCCGCCGTGGGGAGGTCACGTTGGCCGGGTGTACGGCGTGCTGGCCGGGCAGGACCAGGCGTGTCCTGTGGCCGGAGCGAGGGGCAGTGGGGCTGCAGGGGCAGGACAAGCAGGGCCCACACGAGAACAGGGGTGGGTGCCCTGGTGGGGGTCTCTGGGGAAGCTGAGGGGGCGGGGCTGAGGGCCCAGGCCCAGGATGAGGCCACATCCCACGGACACTGGCGCCCTCTGCTGGCTGTGCTGTGCATTGCCCCGAACCGAGGGCTCCCCCGGCCCAAGGACGGGGACATCCTGTGTGCCCTGCCTGGGACACCAAGCTCTTCCGGCCCACATGGCCTCAGCCTGGGAGCCTGGCCCTGGGTGACCTTGGGACAGCCTGCAGGAAAGGAGCTCCCCCCACCTCCCACCCACTGTGGGGCAGATTGGGGCGTCTGACTCTGGACACCCACCAGAGGCCAACCTCACCTCCCCACCGAAGAGCGGCTCACCTGGGGGAGGCCCTGGAGGGTGCAGGTGGGGGCCTGGCCACGGGACCACGTGGAGCTGGGGCCACGGGGAAAGGCAGAGGACCCCCGTAGGGCTGCAGATGGCGGGGACACTGTTGCCGTCAGCACCGCCAACACCCACCTCCGGTCGCCCGGGCCCTCAGCCCCAGAGGAGCCCCAGGTGGGCAGAGCCGCCTCTCTCCTGCTCTCAGCTGAGCCCAGAGCCTGGCGCGGGAGGAGGGGAGAGCACAGACCCAGGAAGCAAAGGCCGGACAAACCACACCGAGGGGGGAGGGCCCTGGGGGACAGGACACAGAGGCCCGGGACTGGCGGCCCAGGACCCTCCGGGAGAAAGGAACCGCTACTGCTTGGGCTGTGGCGGGGCCAGGCAGGGGGTCTGAGCCCGCCTGGCCCTTTAAGAGACGTCTGCCCTCCGGAACACCCCCTCCCCTGCCACTGGGGAGGGGGGAATCCCCGTTGCCCAGCAACCAGAAGCCCTTGGGTGTACAGTGTCACCAGGGCGACCAGGAGCCGCGTCCTGCCCTGGGGACAGAGCGGCTGGTGCTGCCCCACTGACCGCACCCGACCGACAGTGCCCTGCCACCCCTGCTCCCCGCCGCCCCGGCCAGGCAGCCGGCGCCATGGCGCAGACAGACGTGCTGGTGACCAAGCAGCCGGCGCCGCAGTCGGTGCCGCCCTGCGAGCTGCCCTGCAAGGTGTACGAGGTGGCCCGCAACACGGGCGCCCACACGTCCGCGGGCCTGGCCACCGCCGGCTTCCGCACGGCCAAGTATCTGGAGGACGAGTGGTTCCAGGCCTGCTACGCCCGCTACCACCAGGCCTTCGCGGACCGCGACCAGTCGGAGCGGCGGCGGCACGAGAGCCGGCAGCTGGCGGCGGGGACGGAGGCGCTGGCGCAGCGCACGCAGCAGGACTCCACGCGGAAGGTGGGCGCGCGGCTGCAGGACACGCACTGCTGGAAGTCGGAGCTGCAGCGCGAGGCGGACGGGCTGGCCGCCGACACCGGCCTGCTGCTGGCCGAGAAGCGGCGGCTGGAGCGCGCCCTGGACGCCACCGCCGTGCCCTTCGCCATTGCCACCGACAGCCTGCAGTGCCGCGAGCGCCGCCAGCACCCCGACCTCGTGCGCGACCGCGTGGAGACGGAGCTGCTGAAGGTGTGCGGGCCGCGTGGCGCGGGGTGGAGGGGCCCCGGCGGGCGGTGGAACCCGGGCACCGCGTGGCCGTGTGCGGGCACACACCGCCCACACGCCCCCTGCACGCGGGACCCTGGGTCTTAGACGCCAGTTCCTGTAGTCAGAGCGGTGGGTCGGCCCCCACTGGGCCGTGACTCTCAAGCAACTGTCTCTCTCTCTTGGGACCCCCTGCAGCCCACTTGAGCCCAGGCAAATTCAGCCTGACCCTGAGGTCCCTGGGGCTGAGCCACAGGGCACCCCCAGGACGCCCCTGGTGGGGACGGCTGCTCCCACGGTGGACGTCCAGGCACGGGCCAGCGCCGCAGTGCGGACGGGCGGGAGGTGCTGGCCCCGTTCATCCCACAAGGAGCCCTGGCCTCAAAGATTCCCCCCAGGTCCTGTCTCTCCTCCAAATGTCCCCTGTCCCCTCTGAAGCCAGCATGACTTGTCTTGGGGCAGCCTGTGAGGGTCAGGGAGGTGCCAGGCCGGGCTGCTGGTGCTGGTTCCGCAGAGGGCCTGGGCCTCGCCACTGCTGCAGGACTGGGGGCGGCGGGTCCAAGGCCTCAGGGCTTCCCCGTGCCATGCCCCCAGGCCCAGGCTGGAACCCGGGTCCCTCCCTCCCGCTCCTGCCCCTGCCCAGCCCTCACCCGGCCTGCCTGGTGGTGAGAACACTGGCACCGGCCAGGAACGGGCCAAACCCCAGGACAGAGGCGCACTGGGCGGGCACCCCAACGACCCAGATGCAGCCCCAGGTCGAGGCGAGGTCCCGGTTGCAGGGGAGAGGGCTGTTCCCACACGGAGCGGGTGGGCATCCAGGCAGCTTGGGTTCCGGGTGTGGGGACGGCCTCTGCGAGCCTGGAGCCCCGAGGGGCAGCCGGGTGGGCATCTGGTCCCCGGGGCTGGGGGTCCTCGGACGGGCCCTGGCGGTGAGGACCCCAGAGCCCAGGTGTGTGGGAACTGTCTCTGGGTGACCCCGCCGCCCGGAGACATCCCGGAAGATAACACCCCACTTACAACACACCGAAAAGAATGTTCGAAAGCCCAGAATGAGCCCAGAGAGATGCCAGGCTCGGGCCCCACCCTCCAGGAAAGCGGCTGAGCGGGGCGGGCCCGGCAGGACCTCGGTGGGCTCCAGAGCTCAGGGGCCTCCTCCCCCAGGAGGCAGAGCTCATCCGGAACATTCAGGAGCTGCTGAAGAGAACCATCGCGCAGGCCGTCAACCAGATCCGGTGGGTCCAGCTGACCGCGCCCCTCGGGCTGGGGCGAGATGCGGAGGCCCTGGGGGCTCGGGGCGGGCGGGGGCCCAGCCTGGGGACCTGAGCGCCAAGCGGCCCAGATCCGCCCCAGCGCCGGGGTTGCCGGGGCCTCCCCGACGCCGCCAGCCAGCGGACGCGACCCACGCGGGGGTGGGGGGCCGTGCGCTGAGCCGCCCGCCGCCCCCAGGCTGAACCGGGAGCACAAGGAGACCTGCGAGCTGGACTGGTCGGACAAGGTGGAGGCCTACGGCATCGACGAGCGCTGCGCGCGCTACAGCAGCCAGAGCACCGACGTGCAGCTCCACCCGCACTCGGCCGCGCACGCTGAGAGGTGGGCCTGGCGGCGCCGCAGCCCACGCGACCCATCGCCACGCAGCAAATGGGGCCGACGCCTGCGGGGCGGGGACCAGGAGGGCGCTGGAGGGTGTGGGGGCGCGGGGACGGGGGCGGCGGGGACGTAGGGTGAGTCAGGGTTCTGGGAAGGTCAGGGCTTGGGGGGATGGGATGGAAGGGCGTGGGGGCGGCGGGGCGTCTGGCTGGGGTGCACGGGGAGCCCCCCGGACCGGCCACACGCTCCGCCCTCAGCACCTCCACGCCAGAGACCTGGGCCAAGTTCACCCAGGACAACCTGTGCGGCGCCCAGCGTGAGCGCCGGGCCTCGGCCAACCTGCGCGTGCTCATCGACTGCGTCCTGCGGGACACGGCGGAGGACCTGCGGCTGCAGTGCGACACTGTCAACCTGGCACTCACGCGCCGCTGCGAGGAGCTGGAGGACGCGCGCCACAAGCTGCAGCACCACCTGCACGAGGTGGGCCCGCCGGGCTCCGCAGCCCCTCTCTGCCCCGCGCAGCCCGAGGGAGCCCGGAGCAGTGTCCACACGTCCAGGTGCTCACTGAGCATGTGCAGAACTGGCGGATTTGGGGGGTGGTCCGTGGGCATTGCCACCAGGTGACGCACAGGAGAGGCTGTCAGGTGCAGGGAGGACGGAGGCAGGAGGCAGTTTGGGGGGCTGGACCACCTAGCGGGGTGACCCCACCAGGCCCGGCCGTGCTGGCAGGGCTCTGACTCCAGCCCGGACTTTGCTGCCCCGAGTCCCGTGAGCGCTCGGCCAGGGCCGGGGGCCTGACTCACCGGAACCCTCTGAGGGCGGCGGGGAAGGCTGCAGTGGCCGCACGTGGTGTCCCTTCCTCGAGCCTCCCCCAGAGCCACCAGACAGGCTGCCCTGCTGGCCACAGCCTGGAATGGGGGAGCAGCAGGGGGCCAGCCGGGCCCTGCCCCTGTGCGGGGGACCCCGACCCCGCCGCGGCCCACGGGCTCTGTGTGGCCTGCAGACGCTGCGGGAGATAGCGGGCCAGGAGCGCAACGTGGCGGCGCTGAAGCAGGCCATCAAGCACAAGGAGGCGCCCCTGCGCGTGGCACACACCCGGCTGTACCAGCGCTCACAGCGGCCCAACGTGGAGCTGTGCCGAGACACCGCCCAGTTCAGGTGCCCGGGCCACCGCCTCGTGGCTGTCCCGACTGCCACGTCACCATCGACGCCCCGCCCGCCTGCCCCCTGCCTCCCTCTGCCCCCGCAGTTCGGGCTGCGGTCGTAGCGCCACTCCTCTGGCGGTTTCCCTCTGGGACCCAGGGGTGCTTTCAGGGGGTCTTGGCCGGACCCCTGCCCAGGGTTCCCAGCTGTTCTCGTCCCCCCACCTGCAGGCTGATGAGCGAGGTGGAGGAGCTCAACATGTCCCTCGCGGCACTGAAGGAGAAGCTTCTGGAAGCCGAGCAGTCGCTGCGCAACCTGGAAGACACGCGCATGAGCCTGGAGAAGGACATCGCGGTCAAGACCAACAGCCTCTTCATCGACCGCCAGAAGTGCATGGCGCACCGCGCCCGCTACCCCACCGTCCTCAGGCTGGCCGGCTACCAGTGACCTGGCCACGTGTCACCCCCACCCCGAATAAAGAGCACGTTGGCTTTCCTCCCCGTGGCCGGGGTGGGGTCCTGGTGCCGTCTGCCCGGGCAGGCATCTCCGTCCCGTGCAGCCCGGCTTCGCCCTGAGCCTGGGAAACCAGGGTTGCGCCTCGGGGGGCGTGTCCAGAGCCGCCTGTCAGCCCCCACTAGTGCCGGCTCCGTCCCTTCACCCCACTGTGTCGGGCCTTGGGACACCTCACAGGACTGCGGCGTCACTCCACCCCACCCTGCAAGGCCGTGGCATACTTGCATACCTCTTGGGACGGGGCGCTCACTCTGCCTGAAGCTCTTCCCATTGCTGAGCACACCTGCGCGGGGCCCCTCCAGGCTGAGCCCCACCCAGACAGCACCCCCTTCCGCAGCAGCCCCCTCCCCACGGACACCTGGCCCTGAGCCGGGCAGCTTGTCTGGGCTGGGGGTCAGCGAGGCGGAAAATTGCTGCTGGGGGTGCTGGGAGGAGAGGAGCAGGTGCCTTTCCCAGGGGCTCGCTCAGATCTCTACTGCCCCCTCGGGAAGCCACTGCTGGGGAGGAAACGCCAGTCCCAGTCCCTGCCTTTGGGCCGTGGGAGGGGCCGATGTGCCTGAGAGAGGAGCCTTGCTGCCTGGTGGGGAGATCTGGCTGCCTGTGAGCAGGCAGGGCAGGGAGGGCTTCCCGGAGGCGGGGGCCTGGCCTCCACAGCACAGGACAAGGCATAGGAGCTGGGTCGGGGGAGGAGTCCGGGCCTCGAGAGCCAGACGGCTTCTCATCTTGTCTCCGTTCACCGTGGCCGAGCCCGCAGGTCCCAGATCCTCTAAGCCTGGTGCCCACTGAGGCAGCCCCCTCCCTGGCCCTGGGCCCTGTGGGAGGAAGAGGCACCTGTGGCCAGGTGTAGGACCCAGGCAGCCCCTCCCTGCTTCCTGGGGGGAGGCCGCAGCTGCCCCACGACCGACGGGGACCCCCTGAGAGACGGGCCTTGCCCCATTTTGCAGACGGCCGAGGCTCCTGAAAGCCTGTCCTGGTGTCTGCAGTGAGGGAGGGGCCCAGGGTGGAGAGGCCCCTCCGTACAGGGCCGTCCCCAGCCCCGAGGCCAGGCAAGGCGGAGTCTGACCCGCTGTGGGTTGAATCCGCAGCTTCCTCTGCGGTGCAGAGCGTTTCGGAGGAAGCGCCACTTCCGGTCACCGCGGGAGCCACGCCACTTGTCACAGCCGCTGGTCACCACAGTGACGGCCAGCCCTGCTCTTGGTCTCTGGTGCACCACTGAAATGCACCCTGGGCATTGTCACCATGACGCCTGTCCACGGGAGTGAGCTGGAGCAGAGGCAGCAGGACACGCGGCTGCCAGCTCGCCCTGGGGGCTTCGGGCCGTACACGCGGTGCCACGCGGCTCTGCACGGCCTGTCCAGGACCCGCCGCGGCAGCACGGCAGAGCCGGCTCCCTGCTGTCCCCGCCCGGCACAGGGCAGACGCTGGGGCAGAGTCTGGGGAACCTGCGCTGGGCAGGTGGCTGGGTGGGGGCCTCGCTCCTGCCACCTCAGACGCCACGGCCGGGAGGAGTCAGGTGTAGGGGGGTGGAGGCCGCAGAGCCCCCGCCGTCTGTGCGAGGGAGGGGTGCGAAGGCTCTGTCCTGTGTCCAGGGCTCTGGGCAGAGCCACAGCCCTCATGCCAGCCTCAGGGGGGCTGTGCGCTGGCGGGGGGCGGGGCTGAGCCCCCCTGTGCCCTCCCCGCCCCCGTGGCGAGCTGCAGCGCTCCCTGTCCGCTCCCTGGAGGCGGCTCCTCATGGGAGTCTCAGAGAAGACAGGCTGGGGCTTGGGAGGCGAAGACTCCCGCTTTGCTGGGTGGTCCACGCTCACGCCCTGTCGCCCCCTGGCAGAGCCCGGCTGCTGCTGACCCCACCTGGGCTGGTGGGGGCCCAGTGCAGGGCACCGGGGCCAGCGCGGCTCATCGTCTCCGGTTGGCAACAGGTGGGGGGCGCCACGCCAGGCGTCCTCCTGAGCGGATGGCACGTTCTCACTCCTTTGGGCCTCACGACAGCCGAGAGGGTCTTACCTGCATTTCACAGCTGCAGAGAGTGGGGCCCTGTGCCCACCGCGCTCCCACCCCAGGCAGCTCGGAGAGCCCGTCCGTCTGTGGTCTCAGGCAGGGCCCCGTGGCTGGCTCCCGTCAGCAGGGCTGGGCGGTGCTGGGCTGACCCCGGTGGGAGCCCCGACGCCCCTGCCCCGCCCGGATCCCTGACACCGGCCGGCTGCGGCTGGGCCTCGGGGGGCAGCTCCTCCTACTGAACCCCTTCTTGACCCCGGATGGTCCAACCCCTGCCGAGGCCACCTGGATGCAGGCAGCTGAGGACCCAGCCCCTGCCCAGAAGCCCCTCGGGGGGTCCCCGTAGCCTGAGCCCCCCTGCTGCAGGGTCTGGGCGGCTTGTCCAGGAAGCCCCTCCCCCACTGGGGTCGCAGGCAGAGGGAGGGGGATGACTCAGGCCCCCGGTGGGAGGAGGGCTGGTGCCACACAGGGCTGTCCTGGGGACACGAGACCAAACCGAGGCATCGCCTGGGGAAGGAGGGTCCGTGGGCCCTGTGCTGTCAGCGACCCCACCAGGGTCGGGGGGGAGGACCGGTCCGTCCAGCGGGGAGGCACGCGGCGAGCAGTGCAGGGCCGGGAGGCCGCCGCCCCCGCCGCAGCGCACGCGGCTCCCCAGGCCTCTGAGCCCCGAGTGGCCGCCTGTGTCCTGTGGACGTCATCGGCTGAGCCTGGCACAGGCTGCCCCGGCACGCTGGGTCCCACGTGGCCGCTCAGGGGTCGGCGCCCATGCACCCCTCCCCCACACTGGGGCCATCGCAGGGCTGAGGCGCACGGGGCCGCCTGCCGCGCCTGGCTGTCTGGACACCAGCAATGAGATCCTGACACTCCCTGGGGCCACCTGTCTCCTGCACACGCCGCAGGCGGTGGTGAGGGCACGGCGGCCCCACTGGTGCGTCTCGTCAGCGCCAGGTGGCAGCACAGGCCCCCTGGCCCCGGCGTGCAAGGCGCGAGGGGTGCCACCCCCCAGCGCCGCTGCAGGATGTCCACTGAGGGCCCTGGGGCCAAAGGCTGGGCTGAGCTCCCCGTCGCCAGGGTGATGCCGGCGGCCCTGTCTGAGCCAGGGCTATTTCTGTCCCCGAGACGAGACGCGCTATCCTGCCGCTGACGCACCCTCTGCTCTCGCGGACCGCTGACCGCTCTGCCCAGAGCCCGGCCCAGGGCGCCCGCACCCGCAGGTGCGACGTGGACACCTGCCCTGCCAGACGCTCCCAGGCAGGGTCCAGAGGGACCGAGGCCCCTTCCTCCCCCACCCTGTCCTAGGGAGGCCCCGTGCCCCCCAGGGAACACTCCTCTGTTTTGGGGGCAGCTCTGCCGGCATCAGGGGGTCCTGAGGGGGAGGCGAAGGAGAGGGACTCGGACCTGAGCCTCGGCCGGAGCCTGCGGGTCCCACGGCTGTTCATCAGTCTCCGCCCACCACAGAGGACCCTCCGGGCCACTTCTGAGCTGCCGCTGGGGCCACAATGGGGCAGCCACAGAGGAGCCCCCACCTGGCCCCGGTGCCCTGGTCCCGGCCGTGCAGGGCTGACTCGGGTGGCGGCAGGGCCTGGTCCCCAACCTGTGCCACCACAGTCAAGGCGGGGTGAGGACAGCTGTGCCTGGCGCTGCTCGGGCGTGAGCTGTCACCTCCCGGGGCCAGCAGCTGGGGGCGCCCAGAACTGCTCCAGCCGTCTGGGCCCTGCGGTAGCCTCACCACCCCCAGGAAGCCCCACGGGCAGGGTCCGCCTTGGTGTCCTTCCCTCCTCACTGGCCCTGGCGCGGAGGCCCTGCCCCGCCTACAGCCTGCCTGCTGGCACCACCAAGTTCTCTGCCACGTCCAGCGGCTCCCTCAGCAGGCGGCCTGCGGGACAGCCGTGTCCCTCTCCAGAAGCTCCAGGTTAGAGCAGGGACCACACTGGGGCCCTGTGGACTTGACCTCAGGCCACAGAGGAAGCAGCCCCCCTCGCCGCGTCCTGGGAGGCCCATGGGTCGCTCCTGCTGGGGCGCCACCCTCGTCCACTGAGAGGCTGGGCCGGTGGCGAGGCCTCCCTGGGGAGTCGCAGGGGCGAGGGCCCCATCACTGGGTCCAGCCTGGCTCCCTGGCCGGAGTGTGAGGGATCTGTGCGTCACCGGGGGGCGGTGGCCAAGCTGGCCCGACATGGCACGGTGGCCTCTGGCTGGGCACCCCCACCAGGCCCAGCGCAGCCAAAGCTCCGGCCTCCCGGCTGCCCCTCGCATCGCCACACCCAGGGCGGGCGGCAGGCTGGGCTTCTGCCATAAAGAGGGCCGCACACCCCACACCAGCTCCCAGCCCAGCAGCCGAGATGACGGCCCCAGAACACGCACGGGCACGGGAGGCTGGCGGGGGGACCCGGAGCCCCCAGCCAGGCTGCGCGGCCGACGGAGCGGCCCGGTGGGCACCCTGCCCTGAGCTGGCCCTCGGCCTGTTGGTCTTGGACGGGCGAGAGGAAGCCGCAGGCGCCTGGCCGGCATGAAAGGCTCTTTGACGGCCGCAGGGGCAGCAGTGGCGCAGGAGGCGACCAGGCAGCAGCAGCGGCGGTGGCACTCGCGGCCTGGGATGGTAAGGGGGTGCAGAGCCGGGGTGGGGTCTTCACAGCACCGGGCGGGTGGGCTGGGGCCCCGCTGGGCCCTGGAGGAGGCGGAGCCAGCCCAACCGCCTACCACATGGAGCTGCATGGGGCCCAGTGGCCGCGATACCTGGGACCTCAGAGCTCCGGGCCTCCCCAGGGACACTCCCACTCCTGTCGTGCCCTCCACAGGAAGAGTCCAGGAGGGTCGTGTGGGGTCCAGTGGGATGGGGGGGCAAGTCAGGGTCTGCTGGGCTCTGGGGGCTCAGGCAGAGAAGGAGTCTCAACTGCCAGAGAAGTTCAGCCCGCCTCGGGGGGCCTCAGGCGCACTGTGCAAGAGGAAGGAACCTGCCTTGGGCTGCAATCCCTGAGGGCTTCCTGAAGGAGGAGCCTGGTCTCTGTCCAGCAGAGCCGGTGCAGGGAAGGTCAAGGACCCCAACCCCACCCGCTTGCCTTGCGGAAGACTAGCCCTGGCCGAGGCCTCCTGTCTGGCTCGGGGCCCAGATGCAGCCTGTGGGGACCAGGACAAGCAGGGCCCACTTGCAGGGGGAAACCGAAGCCCAGGCTGGCCTGGGGCAGCTGCTGGCTGAGCTGGGAGGGAAGCCCATCTAGTTCTGGTGGACCCAGGCTAGCCTCGCTCCCCCACCGCTCCTGGTGTGAGGGGCGGCAGGGTGGGCTGTGCTGGGATGGGAGGAGGCCCAGGCTGGCGGGAGCTAAGAACCATCTCCCCACTTTGGGGCCTCACGGGTGGCCGCCCAAGTCCCTGCGGCTCTGCCCCGGGAGTTCAGGATGAGGCCGCTTATCCAGTGGGGCAGGGCCTGAGCCCCAGGGAGGCCGCCTGCCCCTGAGTTTGGACGGCTCCCCCTCTGCCTGCCAGGTGTGGGGTCCCCAGCTTTGGGGAACAGGACCTCCGGCTCAGGGGCTCAGGGTGCCTGCGGCAGCGCAGGGCGGAGGCCCCCGCCCCCAGCAGGGCTCCTAGGTTGCCCGCCCACCGTCTCCCGCAGCCGAGGGCACGGCCGGGGCTGCCGTGGGGCCGGGCTCCAGCAGGGCGTCTCCTCCTCAGGCCCCGACCGAGATGGCAGCTTCCACCCTGATGCTCCTGGCGCTGGTGCTGCCCACAGTGGCCTGGCCCGGCCTGGGGTTGCCCAGAAGGCCCTGCGTGCACTGCTGCCGCCCGGCCTGGCCCCCGGCCGCCGCCTCCAGCCCATACACCCGCGTGAGCGCCGGGGACCCGGGGCGGGGGCTGCCCCGAGTGCGGCCCACCATAGACATCTCTATCCTCAAAGGTGAGTGTTGGAGACTCTGTCTGCACCACCCCCCAGGGACTGACGCCGCTCCCCACTGAGGAGAGCAGGGACCTGGGGCCCGGAGGAGGGGCTGGGAGGCAGGGACAGTGAGCGCCAGTCCCCACACTGCTCGGGGGACCCCGAGCCGCCCCCTGCAGCAGGAAGAAGCCCAGCCTGGGGAGGGGCTGTGGACCACAGGGGGTGCTGAGGCCCTCGGGGAAGGGGGCAGGGTCCCTGAGGTCCCCAAAGCGGCAGGCCCCTTGGGAAGGGAGAGGTCCTGTTGGTCTGAGACCCTCAACAAAGGCTGTGCTGTCCCGTGGGCTGGACAGCAGGCCGTGCTTAGGTTAGACCTGGATAAGAACTTCCCAGCCCTCCCATCTGTCAGAGTCCAGCTGAGACCCCTCCTCCCACATGGAGGAGCAGAGAGGAAACACGGCCGGGGTGACCCTCGGGCCCCAGCCCTTGGCCTGGCGGACAGGGCCTGGAAGGGAGGGGAGCCCGCCAGACCTGGCCCTGACCAGGCCCCCCTTGTGCCCCTGCAGGTGAGAAGGGTGAGGCAGGGGTCAGAGGTCGCTCTGGCAGGAGTGGGAAGGAGGGTCCGCCGGGCTTCCGGGGCCCGCAGGGCCGCAAAGGCCAGAAGGGGCAGGTGGGGCCGCCGGGCGCCCCGTGCCAGCGCGCCTACGCCGCCTTCTCGGTGGGCCGGCGCGAGGGGCTGCGCAGCGGCGAGGACCTGCAGGCGGTGCCCTTCGACACGGAGCTGGTGAACCTGGACGGCGCCTTCGACCTGGCCTCGGGCCGCTTCCGCTGCGCGGTGCCCGGTGTCTACTTCCTGAGCCTCAACGTGCACACCTGGAACTACGAAGAGACCTATCTGCACGTCATGCTTAACCGGCGGCCCACGGCCGTGCTGTACGCGCAGCCCGGCGACCGCAGCGTCATGCAGGCGCAGAGTCTGCTGCTGCCGCTGGCCGCCGGCGACACCGTCTGGGTGCGCATGTTCCAGCGCGACCGCGACAACGCCATCTACGGCGAGCGCGGGGACCTGTACGTCACCTTCAGCGGCCACCTGGTCAAGCCGGCCGCAGAGCTCTAGCCGGCGTCCTGGGGCCCGTGCCGCGCCCCGCCCCCCCCCGCGACGGCTCTCTCCCCGAGCCCCCCAGCCTGACCACAGCGTCACGGGGGAGAGCGAGGGCCGCTGTGCTGAGCGCCGACTGCGTGCAGCGGTCGAGCGATGGGGGAGCAAGCCTCACGCACAGCCTGCCCTCGCGGGTTGGACACGGAAGGGACCACACGGAGCCACGCGGGGAGAGGCCTGTGGCGCTGGGCGTGGGGCTGGGGGTGGCGGGGTGGGCAGGGCACCGCTGCACGGGGCGGTCGGGGCCAGTTGCTCACCTGTGTCCACCGCGGCTCATAAAGGCTGTGTCAGCACCGCTGCCCTGGGGACGTTTGCCCGACATCGCGAGGCGCCTGCTGGGCCGGCAAAGGACCCAGATTCTAGCGGGAGACCGGCACAAATTCCAGGGGCGTCAGAGGCTGCGGGTGCACACGACGGCCAGGGAGGGGGTCCCGGCCTGCAGGGGGCTGTCCTTGGCGGGAGATGCCCAACCGAGCACCGGGGGCTGATTTTCTGGGGCTCAGGGGGTCCCTGGTCTGTCGGAAGGGCTGGAGGAAGATGAGACCTCGACGTGCCCAGAACCCAGCGAGCCCCAGACACCCAGAGTGGCCTCTTGTACCCCGACATGCTGCAGTGGGCCACGAGGCCAGGCCACACTGCGGGAGCAGGGAGGGCCCCGTGTGGGAGGGGCGAGTGAGCCGTGCCCATCCTCCCAGGAAGGAGGACGCAGACAGATGTGGGTCACGCTCAGGTCTCGGAAGCCTCCCCCGCCCTCCCTGCCCACCCTCGGCCCTGGAGGGTCTCCGAGGGGATAGCTCCTTGCTCTGACACCAGGGCTCAGCCCGCCAGGGTGGTCAGCTGGTGCGGGAGGGGGCAGGGGGCGGGGGCGGCTCATCCATCTCAAGGCGACCCTCCCATCCGTGTCCACACGGGGTGGGGGGCAGCAGGGGGCACTGTGCCCTCCCCTGCCCCTGGGGACCCTAGCCGTGGGGTGGACACCGGCACCCTTCGGGACCCTGAGCCAGGCCAGGGTGACGGGCAGGGCTGGACGGGCAGAGGGGCCTGGGCAGGGCAGGGCTGAGGACTGTCAGGGTGCAGCCGGGCCCCTGCCAGTCACGACTCCGAGTGGACGCTGGGTGTCCTGCCGGCCGCCCCCACCTAGCAAACACTCCCGCCGTGGGGACAGAGGGGCTGCACCCTCAACAAGTGGGAAACTGAGGCCCAGCCCAGGTCTGGAGAAAACCCGCACGGGTGTCCTGGGAGCTGACCCCACAGGCAGGGCTGGGGGCCCGGTGTACCCCTGACAGAGCAGGGCAGTTGGGGGGTCAGTGGGACCCCCACTTGCTGTCCACGCAGGGCCCATCTGCAGGGGAGGGCTTCTCTCCCGCCACCCACCCCTCACCTGACCCCCCCAGGGGCCACATCCCCAGGCGGCACCTCCAAGCCTTTCCTTGCGTGTCAGGGGTGGAGGTGTCACTCAAGCACAGGGGGGCCAGGGGTGTCCTGGGCTGGTGACGCCCCGGCCCTGCTGGGGTCAGGACCCAGGAAAGCGACAGCCCGGTGGGGGAGGGGGGGAATCCCAGGCTGGGCCCTGCCTGTCCTCGGGGCCACCCCACCTGGACACTGAGGTGGGCGGAGCCTCAGGCTGCACTTTGGCCCCTGGGATGGCCAGACACGTCCAGGGTGCCCGGCAACTGGCAGGCAGGACAACGGGGCCTGGGCAGGGAGGGTCCCGCTGTGGAGAGGAAAGGGCCCAGCAGGGAGGTGGAGGGTCCGAGGCAGCTCCCTCTGCCCTGCGCCCTCGTCCCCCTCCCACCCCCACCAGGACCCCCCAGTGCTGAGGCCAGGCGGCCGAGGGGCCGGTCCCAGCTGTGCGTCCCTGGGCAGGGGCCTGACTGTTGAGGGTCCAGGGCGCCTGGTCACTGTTCCCGGCGGGGCCCCTAGGTGGGGGAAGTGGTCACGCGGCCTCCTCCCAGGTGTGGACACTGAGGCCCCTGCAGCCAGAGCCGGGCTCCTGCCACGGTGCAGCCCTCTCCTGTGTCTCTCTGGCCTGCCCCGTGGCCTCGGCGTCCCCATGCCACAGCGGGGCGCAGAGGGCTCCGTCAGGGCCCACAGAGCGGTGGCAACAGCGTCCTGGGAGTGCGGGGCCACGTGAGCGCCGCGGCCGGGCAGAGCCAGGTCTGGGCGTCTGGCCCCGGAGGCCTGGACACGGCGGCCACTCTGCCTTCTGCCGGCCTCGAGGCCAGCTGTCCCCAAGGCTGGAAGGGGGCCAAGCATCCCTGGACAGCTGCTCCCGGCCACTGACCCAGGAGGGCAGGACCACACACCCACCGGGGGTCCTGTGTCGGGGAGGGTCCCACGAAGGGTCCCACGAAGGGTCCCGTTTTGGCCAAGTGTGGCGGGTGCTCCAAGGGGCAGAGGCGGTGGGGCGGGGGTCCCAGCTGCCCGCACGGAGGGTCGCAGTCCTGAGGGACAGTCAGGCAGGGCAGGGGGAGGACGTGCACGCTCACAGCTATAGCAGGGAGCCCCGAGTCCCAGACATCAGCCCCTCCCTGGCCCTGGCCCTGCGGGTCTTCGGCCTCCGCGATTGCAGAGCCAGTGCTGCCACAGGGTGTGGGCTGCTCGCAGGAGAGAGGCCGGCAGGACGTTGTCCCCCACTCCAGGGAGCCCAGGTCATGCAACCACCAGGCTGGGGGGCGGCGGCTGGGCCCACTCAAGGCCCAGACAGGACCAGGCAGGGCTGGAGCCGGGCCGTGCGTTTGAGGGACAGGCTAGGAACAGACGCCGCCACAGTCGTGGGTGTCGGCACGCGCTCGCGTCAGCGCACCCTGCGTGGGCAGGACGGGCAAAGGCCCCAGAGAGCCGGGCTGGGCGGCGCCTGTGGAGCCTCGGTGCATCCTGGGGGCGCGCGGGGGCCCTGCAGGCAGGTTGGGATGAGGCGGTGCCTGCGTCCTGCCGACCCTCCGGGTTTGCTTCTCTCAAAAACCGACTGAGAACTGGAGGAGGAGGGAGGAGACGAGGTCAGGATTCTCTGCAGGGCGATCAAGGCCGAGCACAGGCGGGTGTCAAGGGCGCTCCTGCGAACAGGCCAGAGACGCGGCCTCACCGCTGCCCGCCAGTCGGAGGACAGAGGGGGGCGCGCACAGCCGTGGGGACCTGGGCGGACCTGGCCCGCGCACACCCTGCAGGGAGGAAACCGCACTGGCCTGTCGTGTTGGTGACGTCTTGCTGGGGCGCGGTTCATCTTCCTTCGGTTCATCAGCGCAGCGAAATTCCAATAAAACCCAATTTTTAATACTTACGTGGATTCACATAACGCAAAGTCCGCCTGTTAGAGGGGACGTGGCGTGGCGTTCACCACGTCCACGGTGCTGTCTGGTCCCGGCGCGTTCCCGTCCCCCAGGAAGTCGGTCCCCAGCGCCACGCTGCCCGCCCCGGCCTGGCGGCCTCTGCTCCTCCCTCTCTGTGACCCGCCTGCGCCGGGCGCCTCCCACTGAGCACCGTTTCCGAGGCTCGTCCGTGTCGCAGCTCCGCGGCCCCCACCTCCAGGTGGAAAAACTGTCTCCCGCGAAACTCGGGGAGGGGGCTGGGGTGGGGGCCGCACGGCCGAGGTGAGCGGCAGTCGAGCGAGCAAAGCTTCGCCGTGGTCACGGCCGCTGCCCGTCGCTGGCAGGGCCACCTGAGCTCCCCCACGCCCCGTCCGTGGAGAATGGCCCGCAAAACCGGTCCCTGGGGCCAAAGAGGTTGGGGACCGCGGCAGCGTGTGACAGAGCGTCCTCCCTCTTTAAGGCTGAGAACCGTTCCGTGGCACGGACAGACCACATTTGTTCATCCGTCCCTCTGTCCACGGACACTGGCTAAGGCTCTTGTGAACATCTGTGTAAAAATTCCATTTAAATGTCGTAAGAATCGTGTTGAAGGGAACCCGGAAGAGCGAACAGGCGAGAGGATTGTAGGCAGCCTTGACCCGGCTTAGCCCTGGTGGAGACGGTCTCAGCGGCCGCTCAAATGGAGCACGAGCGCAGTGAGCGCGTGGCCGCCACGCAGAGAGAGACGGAAGCTGTCACCCCGGAGGACGAGGGCGCGGGGAGAGCAGGCGGCCGCGAGGAGGGGGCTCTTTCCACGTCACATTCACGCCACGTGCCAAGACCAAGTTCCGCTGAGTGAAGAGCTCTCGGCACAGACACCATTAACGATACGCAGGATGGCCACGCGTGCGCGGAGCGGCGCTATTCACAGTAGCCAAAAATAGACGCTATGGCCTGAACACGTCCCCCAAAATTCACATGTTGAGACCTCGTGGCCAACATGACGGTCTAAGACGTGGCTGCTTGGTCGCAGCGGCACAAACGACGGAGAAGCACACGCGGCCTGTGCGCACGGCGGACAGGACTCAGCGCCAGGGAGGAAGGAGGTTCCGGCACACGCCACGGCTCGGCGAACCTGAGGGCCCTGTGCAGGTGAAGTCAGTTGTCACGCAAGGACACACCGGATGATTCCGCTCACACATGGTCCCTGGAGTCGCCACAGTCACGGGGACAAGCAGAGAGTTGGGCGGGGTCCGGGAGGCGGGACAGTTTCTGTCTGTGCTTCGAGCGGCATTCAGGGCACGGGGCCGGCGGCACGACAGCGGGACGGACTTCCTGCCCTGAACTGGGCACAAACACGGTTAAGGTGGTAAAATTTTGTTATATACGTTTCACCAAAATATTAAAAATATGTGGGGACGTTTAGCTCATCTCTGGATGACGAAAAACCTCTCAATTAAGCAAAAAGTGGAAGAATCTTCCAAGTAGATTAATGACGCACCTGACTTCACGAAACGGAACCTGCTGCTCTGCGCCGGTCCTGGGCCCGAAACCCGAGCCCAGAAGGCGCCTGCCCCAGATGCGGTAGTAGGTGGGCTTCCTGCCCGTCGGCGACCTGCGCGGTGCGCGGGGAACACTCGCGAGGAAACGGGGATTGGGAAGACACAGGAA